CAAGCCCACTGTCCACCAAGCTGCATCGCTAGCTAGCTAGCTCGTTGCACATTTTAAGGAAACCGGTAGTGGAGCTGGGTTTGTCCTTAAGGAGCCTGCCCATTCTTTTGATGTTGGCATTGTTGCCAAACTTCCAGGATGTAAGTAAGCTAAAGAGGCAAGCAGCTTTAGCAGCAGGAAAGGTGATGAGCGAGCAGGGTGTTAAATGATTCCGTCAAAGGCTTCTTGGAGGCTGATTTCCAGCGTTCTGACTCAGTGGCCCTGTTAAGTCTTGCCCAGCATAGTACAGCTTCATTTGCTGTGAAGTAAATGTGAGGCGAAATTGGTTACATTGTTCAACTTCTGTTGGAAGTTGGCACACCTTATTTCCTAACCAACTGTGTCTGTTCTACTAAAAAAAAAAGTCTTTTGTTTGGTCGGGTTTTGTTTATCTGTTGTACCTGTTCTGTTTTGAGTCCCGTCATCCCCACCCCGCATCCCTTTTTTTTTTTTTTTTGAGACAGGGTTTCTCTGTCCTGGAACTCACTCTGTAGACCAGATTGGCCTCAAACTCACAGAGATACTACTGCTGCTGCCTCTTAAGTGCAGAGACTGAAAGGGAAGAGCCACCACCTGGCCAAAAATAAAAAGGTTATTTAAAGACGGCAACCGTAAAGAGAAGGCTGTGTGGGACTGAAAGAGTGCCTTTACCTGTGGAAGGCTGCGTAGACGCATAGCACAGTTGAAGCCAATCAAGATGAGCATGACTTAAGACCCTGTCTTCGGATGCATTCCTAGCACATACATAGCTCTTCCGTGAGTGCTCTGGTTGAGGCAGTGGAGAGGTGTTGAGGGTGGTGGTTACTAAGATAGAGTCCTTGGAGGAGAGGCAGGTCAACCTGGATTTTGTTAAGAAATTGAAAGACAGACTTGAGAAGAGCTTACACTTGTGATGGATTGTTGGGAGTAGAAGGAAGTCTACTTCTCCCTATGCTTTTCAAATGCCTCCATGTTCAGAGGCTGTAGAGCTGGAAAGGGCTTGGACACGCTGGTATTTGAATTTCAGAAGCTGGGTGTGATGGCACACACCCATAATCCCAGGACTTGGGGGGTAGAGGCAGAAAGATCAGAGTTCACACTTGTGACCTGTATATCAAGCTCCAGACCAGCCTGGGCTACAGAAGATCCTGCCTCAAACAAACAAACAAAAACTTTTTTAACCAATACTTCTTCATTCCAAGGAAGACTGAGACAGGAGGAAGAAAAGACTAGTATTGTTAAAGGACACTGGTTATGTCCACACCAGCAGATCTGAAGGACAACTTTAATCTACTATAAAATAGATTATATTACGTTGAGTGTTCTGTGGCCGTTGTACACAGTTAACTAAGGAGAGGGCTGACACCCACCCCACCCTCGCCCATGCCTACGCCTGCTTTTCTTTTTAAAGCTGTGGATGTGGCGTAGCTCTAGACAATGTGAGTGATCCGGAGTTTGTGCACAGGACTTCCTAGCTTTCGGGGGGCTGGCTGCGAGCACCTCTGTCTCTCCTCCTACAGACAGAGTGTGGATGTGAAGACACTTGGTGGGAAGCAGGTTGCACAGACCGTTGTGCGGCTTCACTCCAGGGTAGCTTACAATGTCTTCAGACCAGCCCTCGAGACTTCCAAGCCTGATGACCAGAGATCCACCTCTAGAACCCACATGATGGAAGGAGAACCAACTCTCACAGATTACCCTCTGACCTCCACACATGCACAGCTCCCCACATAGAATATTTCTTTTGTTTTGTTTTGTTTTTCAAGATAGGGTTTCTCTGTGTAGCCCTGGCTGTCCTGGAACTCACTGTGTAGACCAGGCTGGCCTCAAACTCAGAAATCTGCCTGCCTCTGCCTCCCAAGTGCTGGGATTAAAGGCGTGCGCCACCACCGCTCGGCAAAAGATTTATTTTTATTGTTCTTAATTATATGTAATCAATCTCTCTGTGTGTACACATGTGTGCGTGTGTGCACGCACGTACAGGTTTGTACAAGTACCACATGGTTCAGAAGAGAAAATGTCACCTCCCCTGGAGCAGGACTTACATTACAACACGGGTACCAGGAATTGACTTAGAGTTGTCTGCAAGAGCAATCAATACCTTTCTCTCTAGCCCCTCAAATAAAAAAAAAAAAATTAGAAAAAATTTCCAAATCCCCACACTGAGATGGAATTATTTCCCAAAGTTCTATAGCATCTCCTGTAGTCATGCTACTATTCATTTACTTAGAACTACGCTGAATATTCTTTTTTTAAAAAATCTATCTATCTGTTTCTTTGTTTATTTTTTGAGATAGGGTTTCTGTGTGTAGATATCTATGGGTATCCTAGAACATGCTCTGTAGACCAGGCTGGCCTAGAACTCAGAGGTCTGCCTGCCTCCTGAGTGTCTGGGTGCATACCACCACTGCCCAAGCAAGGTTGTTATTTTCATACTGATTTTTCAGAATTTTCTATAAACCAAGGAAATTGGCCCTGGTGGAGATCACACGTTTTTCAAAGGTTGTCTTTTCATTTTACGCGTTGTTGGCTTATGAGTTATTGGCTGTCAAAGTTGTCGATGGTTTTGCTTTGCTTGTCCTTCTACATCATCATGTAGTTTTACACAGGTCAGTCTGTGGACAGCGTTGTGGGCTTTGGAATTTTCTTTCAATCCTTCGTGCATCTAGAGTTTATTTTGCTATGAGGAAGCCAGCTCTTCTAACACTGTTCATGGACTAATTCATCCTCTTCAAATGCACCATTAGCAGTGATCTATTCAAAGAGCGTTATCATGTCCCTCTCTTCCCTGTCCCTCCTCTCATCCCTCCTTTGTACACTGGGGATTAAATTTAAACCTTACTGCATGCTATGCAAACACACGCTCTACCATTGACTAAAGATCACTGTTTAATTTTTGACACTGGGTCTTGCCAAGTTGCTTAGACTGACCTAAGTTTCTCTGTATCCTGTCTCAAGCAGACCTTGACTGTGCGTTCCTCCAGCTTTGCATCCCAGGTAGCTGGGATTACAGGCCTTGACTGCTCGGCCAGATTTCCTTTATGGATTCTGGTTTCTCTCCTCCTAGTTTTTTGTAGCATAGGTGAGGTGATTTTTTTTTTTCAAAAATAAATTAGGGCAAGTCTACCTTGGTGGGCTGCTGGATATTGCTCTTTGGATAAAGACCTGATCCTCAGTGTAACTCGAAGACTCTCTTTGGCCTGACTCCTGTTGTCCCTCCTCCTCCTCTTCACAATTTTATTTGAAGTCAACCTTCCTCCCTGCTTGGGTTTTGAACTAAACACTCCTCTAGGCAGCAAGTGAGTCAATCTTCATTTGATTTCCCATTACTAAGGGAAGTTTTAAAAAATTGCCTGATGGGAGTCTGGAAAGATGGCCCAGAGGTCCTGGGTTCAATTCCCAGCACGTACGTGGTAGCTCACAACCATTTATAACTGTAGTCATGTGGGATCCAGTGCTCTCTTTTGTATGCAGATATACAAGCAAACAAAACTCTAAACACATTAAATAAATAGATAAATAAATGAATAAATAATCTTTTAAAAATTGCCTGATGTATTTTAGTTTGAAATGTACTTACTATTGTATTCAATAAGATTTATTTTATTTAAGAGTGTGTGTGTGTACATGTATACTTGTGTCTGTGTATGAATATGTACACTTGAGTGGAAAACAGAAACGTCAGAACCCTTTGGAACTGGAATGACAGGCTGTTTGAGCTGCCCTGTTTGGGTCCTTGGAGTCAAACTTCTTGTGCAAGTGCAGTTTATGCTCTTGCCTACTGAGTCATCTCTGGCCCGTTTTATGCATTTTAAAAATTTCTAAAAATTGGTTTAGACAGAAGTTTCTAAAAATTGATTTAGACAGAAGGATGAATCTAGTTGCTAGTATTCCATCCCAGAGTCTGGTTTCTTTTGTTTTTCAAATGTAACAATGTATCTCTGGCTGTTGCTATTAATTTAAAAAAAAATTTAGGTTTCTTAATGTGTATGAGTCTTTTGCCCCCCCCCTGTGTGTGTGTGTGTGTGTGTGTGTGTGTGTGTGTGTATGTGTGTGTATACACCACGTGCATGCCTGCTCAGAAGAGGGCATTAGGTCCCCAGGAACTTGGTTTACAGATGGTTTTGAGCCACTCTGTGGATGCTGAGAATCAAACCCTGATCTTCTGCAAGAGCAACAAGTGCTCTTAAATGCTGAGCCATTTCTCCTACCCCTATTGTCATTAATTCCGTAAACATTGATATTATTTAAGAAACCTCATTTTTCTTTCAGATTTATTTTCTTTTAAAAGAATTTTATATGTGTATATGTGTGTATCTACATGAGTTTGTATGTATCATATGCATGCAGCAGCCTACAGAGGCTAGAAGAGGGTATTGGATCTCCTGGACTTGGAGTTACAGCCGGTTCTGAGCTCCCCAGTGTGGGTGCTTGGAATCACATTCAGGTCCTGTAGAAGAGTAGCAAGTGCTCCTAGCTACTGAGCTATCTCTCTCTACCCCTTACTCCCTCTTTTCTTTAGAAGAGTCTATAGCCTAGGCTACCTTCAGACATGCTCTGTAGTTCAGACTGGTTTCTAATTTCTGCAGCCTCCTAATTTCTGAGATTACACACCTACCATCATGTTTAACCAGTCTTCTTTCTTGTTACCATAAAGGTTGCTTTAAATTTTTAAATTTTATTTCCATAGCAAAAAAAAGTTTAGGAATTAAGTAATTAAGTAGAATAGGCCATACCATCAGAGACAGGGCCAGTTAGAGCACTCAAAGACACATACTTCATAGAAAATTGGACTGGTGGCAGAAGGAGCCAGTAGTTTGTATAGTTTCATAATTCATATGATAAAATTGTAATTACTACCTATTAGTAAGGTATATGCCATTAATATATACAGACTACTTATGGCTTTTACAGTATATGAATTTTTCGTAACTGAAAAAAATCTCAACAATACTCTTAACTGTCTTTTTCTTTATTCCTAGGTTTAAATAGCAGAGTAAAATCAAGCTGGTAACCATGGCTGAAGGAGGATTTGATCCCTGTGAATGTATTTGCTCTCACGAACATGCTATGAGAAGACTCATCAATCTGGTGAGATGAACAGATGAGTACAGTTCCCAGCTGATCTGGATTCTTCCCGGTTCTGTGAGATCAATGTTTCTCTTAGTTGTGCTTCTTCTGCAGTGATGGGTGTGACCGAAGGCAACTAGGGGAGGAAAGGGATTATTTCAGCTTTCCCTCGAAGTCAGGGCAGGAACCTGGAGGCAGGAAAACCGAAGGAGAGGCCACCCTTGTACCCCATGTTTGCTTATTAGCTTGTTCTCCTAACAACCCAGGACCACCAGCCCAGGGGCAGCACTGCCATGGTGTCCTGGGCCCTCCCACATAATCATTAATCACGAAAATGCCCCACACACTTACCTACAGGCTGAAGTCATGGAGACATGTTTTCTGTTGGGGTTCTTTCTTCCCAGATGACCATAACATGTGGGCAAAAGACAAAAAACTAGCCTGCACCAAGGCTTCATTTTGGTTTAAGATTTATTTTTATGCGAGTACATTGTTGCTCTCTGCAGATGTACCAGAAGAGGGCATCACATCCCATTTCATATGGTTGTGAGTCACCATGTGGTTGCTGGGAATTGAACTCAGGACCTATGCAAGAGCAGTGAGTGCTCTTAACAGCTGAACCATCTCTCCAGCCTCGGTACCAAGATTAATAGAGGGTTTTCTCCAGATAGTCTCTAAAAAGTATTTGATAATGGAAACTCTGTGGTTAATTAAGACAATGATAAAACACTTGCCAGTACTTGTTTTAATTAGAGATGTAAACCAGTTATTCTCTATATTTCTATAGATTTCTTTTAAGGACATTGGCTGTCCTACAGTGTTAACCACAGTCATGTTGCGCCTGTTGTTTTCATGCTGGAACAGATCATTGTTTTTAGTTATGTGGAGTTTGCCTGCCAAGCTACTATGAAACCATAGCTCCTTTCTGATATATACAGTTTAGTCCTTCTCCAACCTAAATCACCACAGTAAAAATCTCTGTAGAAAGCATTTCTAGATCTAGTAAGTTGTTAGACCAAGGTATACAAAATTACTTATTTGATCTGGGCAGTGGTGGTGCAACATCATTAATTCCAGCACTTAGGAAGCAAAAGCTGGCCTGGAACTCAATCTGTAGACCAGGCTGTACCTCTGCCTCCTAAGTGCTGGAAGTAAAGGCATGTGCCACTATGGCCTGGCTCCAAAGGCAGATTTTTTTGATCAAGAAATTCGGGTAGTCTTATTGATTTGTTGTAGTATGATTTAACTTAGTGTTTTAAGACTTTCCTAGTTCCTAAACTTAAAATTAATACTGTTTATATCATGGTGTATACTTTTTACAGAAAACTGAGCACTATTAATAATAAAGTGCTTTTTAAAAAGTGTTTAGGGGCTAGAGAGATGGCTCAGTGGTTAAGAGCACCATCTGCTCTTCCAGAGGTCCTGAGTTCAATTCCCAGCAAATAGTGGCTCACAACCATCTGTAATGAGATCTGATGCCCTCTGCTGGTGTGTCTGAAGACAGCGACAGTGTACTCATATATATAAAATAAATAAATCTTTAAAAAGTACTTAGGGATTATACGCAGAGCCTCATGTACACTAGGTAACATCAACTTTACTGCTGAGCTATATCTTCAATCTCTCAAGTCTTAAATTTCTTTAAAAAATTGTGTGTGTATGTGTTCTGTCTGAATATACCTGTATACCATGCATGTCTGGTACTCTTGAGCACCAGAAAAATGTCTCTGATCCCCTGGTTGTAAGTCTCAATGTGGGAACTGGGAATTAAACCAGTTATTGTCTGGTAAAGTAGCCAGTGCTCCACCCACTGAGTCATCACTCCAGCCCCTTAGATTTAAGCCTTAAAGCCCTTAAGCTTTCAATTTAACCCAACAATAAGTTATTTAAAAAAACTTTGTTATTAATAACAAAAACTAGTTTTACAATTTAACTGTGATGAAACAGGGAATCCATTTTTAATTAAAAACTACTATCCCTCTTTTAAAAACTATGTTTTAATTTAGTATAATGTTTTTTTCTTTTTTTTTGTTCCAACTTGGCCACATTTTAGAAGTAATTAACACTAGGGCATGTCTGACCCTTTCTTCCCCTGCTTGGTTGTGTGCACGTGACCCTCTACCATGCTTCTAGTTTCTAAGTTTAGCTCAGGGTATGTGAGGAGGATGTGGTAAAAGTGGGCAGCTATGCAGATATGCCATGAGGGAAGAAAACCTCATGTCAAGCCTCAGACTGGTACCTTACCACACAGGGTCAAGATAAAATGTAAGATGTGTCCATAGAGCAGATATTTCCCAAGATGGAAACGTAAGGAAAAATATACACCATGTATAACTGATTCCAGAAACATCAAAGATGGCACCTGGTAGAGCAGAGAATCCAGGGTGATGCTTTTAAAAGAGCCAGTGCATATAAGTAAGTGGTTCGCTGCATTGAAAAGAATGTAAACAGTTCAAGTTCAGACAGATCCTTGTCTGCATACACAGTGAAGTGGGGGGAGTGGTAGAGACCATAACAGAAACCATGGGAATGAACGGCTCATGAAGTCAGATGGCAAGATGAAATTGACAGCTTCATCAACAAACTTGATCAGATGAAGGAAGTAACACATGTTGAAAGACAAGACTTTAGAGACGTTAGTGCCAGACATAAATGAAGAAAAAGAACAAATAAAGAGAAAATGTGAGCCGGGCGGTGGTGCACACCTTTAATCCCAGCACTTGGGAGGCAGAGGCAGGTGGATTTCTGAGTTCGAGGCCAGCCTGGTCTACAGAGTGAGTTCTAGGACAGCCAGGGCTACACAGAGAAACCCTGTCTCGGGGGAAAAAAAAATGTGAATGGTTTGGGAAGTCTTCAGAAGATCATGTATTTGGCTCATTGGGGTACCTGTGTAGAGAGCCTTGGGTTGAAGGTACAGAAAATATACTACACAAACAAACACCAGAAAATTTCCCAAGTCTTGGGAAACCATACAATCATGCAGGTACAAGAAACATTTAGGAAACTTGGAATAAGCATGACCTTAAATGTACTTCTTAGCCGTGTCTGATGGTGCAGGTAATTAATCTCAGGCAGAAGCAGGTGGATCTCTGTGAGTTTGAGACCAGCCTGGTCTGCACAGCAAGTTCCAGGCCATCTAGGGCTTCAGAGTGAGACCTTGTCTATATAAAAGAAGTTCTTCTCTATGATATATCATAAATTGTCAAAAGCATAGAAAGTTAGAACTTGTGAGACAGAAGTGACAAATAACAAGGCAAAGCTATTAGATTAACATATTTTTTTTCCAGGAGAAATCCTAAATGCCAGGAAGGCAGTTTCTAAAACAGCAGGTCTCAACCTGTGGGTCTTAACTCCCAGGGGAGGGGGGTCACATATCATATACCCACATATATACACATATATACACTACAATTGAATACAGCAAAATTGTGGTTATGAAGTAGCAATGGAATAATTTTATGGTTGGGTGTCACCAGAACATGAGGAACTGAATTAAAGGACTGCAGCATTAGGAAGGTTGAGAACCACTGCTCTAAAAGAAAATATCAAACAAGATTATTCATACCTAGTGTCTTCTTTAGGGTTCCTATTGCTATAATAAAACACCATGCCCAAAGGCAACTTGGGGAAGAAAGCGTTCATTTTGGTTTACAGTTTGTAGTCAATCATTAAGAGAAATCAGGGAAGGAACCTGTAGACAGGATCTGAAGCAGAGGCCATGGAGGGGTTCTTATTCCTCACTTGTTTTCTATGGCTCTCTCAGCCTGCCTTCTTGTAGAATTCAGGGATGGCACTGTCCACATGGAGGCATTTTCTCAGCTGAGATTCTCTTCCCAGATGTGTCTAGGTTTGTGTCAGGTTAACAGAAAACTATCCAGGGTACTCAGAACAGATGAAGAAGTTTGACTGTCTACGGTAAGGGTAGAATAAGGGAATTCATGACCACTAGACCAGAATTACAAAAAATGCTTAAGGAAAGCTTGCAGTCCAGAAGAGGGAGACTGTGATAAACGCTGTCACTCAAACATGGGAGTAATGCTAGCAGAAGACAGTGTGCTAATGAGAAGTAGGAAAGAATCAAGATATCAAGATATCAGTACACTAAGCCATCACTTTTACAAGGTAAATGAGCAAAATATATTCAAAACTACCAGAAGAAAATCAACAAAATGACAGGATCAAATACATTGCTTCCACCAGAAACTCTGACTGTGCATAGTTACTGTGTTTCTGCTTGGATGGAAGGGTATCCTGGGACTCAAATCCAGGAACCATACAGCTCTGAGAGAAGATATCCCAATGGAAGGACATCCCGAGACACAGGAGCTCAGGAGCCACACAGCCCTGAGTGAAACCCTCCTCAGAGGCATTGCAGCTCCCAGGGGAGGGTATCCCAGCTAAGCTGAGGCGCTCAGGAGCCTCAGCCATTCCACTTCCCTTTTCATTGCTTCCTGGCTTCTTCTGATGAGTCCTACCAGGCAACAAATCTCAGGAGAGAGATTTATTGGAGGTCCAGGGTATGGAGGGATGAATCCAGGGATGACTGTCCTCTGCTCCCAGGAGTGGACAGCAGGGAACTGGACAAAGGGCAGGGCTTATATAGGATTTCTTAGGGGCAGAGATTTCCAGAGTGAGGATTGGTATGGTTTCAAGTCATGAGCTTGGGGAGCTCAGGGATTTGTGTGTTTCCATGTTCAGTGATTGGTGGGTTTTTCCTACTCAGGCATTGATGGCTTTTTGTCACCACCTTTCCCTGCATTGGGCCCATGGGTTAAGATGGGAAGTCCTTCAGGTATCTTTGGCTTCAGCTATCTGTGGAGGTGCCTAGGGAGGCTAGAAAGGAGATGCTGCCACTGTGGACAGCTCCTGAGAGACAGCGCCTTCAGTGGCATTTTATGAGAGCAGTAGGCTGAGGCAGGGAAGGAGATGAGCCACCTTGGACAGCTCCTGTGGGACAGCTCCTGTGATGGCTGCAGGCTGAGCTGTATCAAGGTGCTATCAGCGCCATTTTTGACAGCTAC